TCAGAATGTCTATTCTTATATGTGTATATATATATATATATATATAATTAAAATTGCAATAAAGAAACAGAGGAGCTACTCATCAGCCTGTTTTCCGTGTGTTTATCTCACTCCCTTTGTAAAAAGGAAAATCTGTTTTATGTAATATCTGAGAGTTAAACATGCTAGAAGAGAACCTTGCCTAAAACTAAATCCTTCCTGTCCTTCCTGGTGGAGAAGATGTGATTTTTGTTATCACATAGTAGAAGAGATGAACTAGCACTGGCGTTAGTCTCTCACCCAGAGATAATTCATCAGTGAATTCTTTTTATATCAACTTGTTGCAAAAAAAGTTGCAAACTTGAGGGGTTTGGTTTGCCCAGGGACTGGGGAGGTTCCTGGTGGGGAGAACACATGAGCTATTGGGGTCATCATCCCCTTTGTCTCTGCCCTAGTACCCACTGGGCCAGGTCACAAAGGGGGCCCCCACTCTGCCCAGCCTGCATCCTCGTCCACCATCTGCACCCTGCCGTCACCTCGGTTTTTCAGAAGTTAGGACAGGAGTCCAGGCGCTGTCATCTACTTACTGCTCACTGTTCCTGAGGTTCTTATGGATTCCGAGAGGTGGTGGATGGCTGAAGGGTTCGAGAGGAGGAGCGCAGGGTTCGGCAGATGCTGGCATCCTGGGCCCTTTTCCAAGACGTCCAGGCCTCCTCCTCCGACTTGTTTAAGGGCAGAGAATAAGGTTGCAAAGGAAATCAAAGCCTGATGTGGAGAAATGAAACATGAGACCTACTGACTTTTTAAAAACATTTTAAATAACATTCTCTAAGGTTTCATTTTATACCGAAGGCAGCTGTAATAAGTTTGGAAGACAGTGTAAGGTTTCTATTACAGAGCAATCCTGCTTGCAGTTTTTCTACCAGAAGTGAGAAAGGGCGGAGGGGGAGTGGAGGTGGTTAAGAGGTTATTTTGTATAAGGTGAGAAAATTTGAAAAGATGAATTCAAGACTGCGAGCGTGTAACATTTGGTATGCTGTCATTTGCAAATGCAATAACATTAAGCCATTGCAAACTTGGTGTGTGTGTGTGTGTGTGTGTGTGTGTGTGTACATAGTCGGGATAGCATTGGAATAACTTAATAACTGGAGCTCAGCAGCACTTTGACCACAAGGAAAACAAGACTGCAGCTCTGTAGTGGGCCCTGCCAGTGTTGCCCCAGTGACTAAATTCTCTGTCGAAGCCTGGCGCAGGCCAGAGATGTCAGGCGGTATGAAAGCACTCATTGTTCACAAGGCATCATTATTTGGTACTGCATACACAATGTTTGCTTGTGAAATGATTTATTAGAAACAAGTATGTTTAAGAAAGAGGACTTGGTTTGAAACTCAGTTGATCTGGCTTATGACATTTAAGATTTTATTACCTTTGTTTCTAAGAATAGATATGTAGGCCCACTGTAAATATTTATCTTAAAACGCACCCACACTACACACACATGCATGTGCAAGTACAGAACTGGAAAACGGAGCCAGGGCATGAATTGATACTCAAAGTTCACATTTCTGTGTGAAGGAGTAAACCTTCTTACTATTTGCTAGGTGCATAGGAGCATAGTTTGTGACCTTGGCTGGCAGGATCTAGCCCAGAGGATGGCTTCCCCTAATGGTGTGAAGTCTCTTGGTAGGAGGCTTGTTGAGGAGAGAAGAGTGTGTGTTTGTTCGTGCGTGGACTTAGCTCTGTCCTTCCCACATGGATGAGGCCAGCTGAGATTAAACCAGACCTTGGTCGCTGCCCGCCGTGGACAGGTCCCTGGGATGTCCAGCCAGCTGCCAGGCGTGACCAGGAGGCTTGCTGGGGCCCATCCCTGGGTCAGCGTACGAGCCAGAGAGCAAGGGTTTCACGTGACGTTTGAAGGGACCCAGCTTTGAAATTTTCTGCCCACAAACACCACAAGTCTTAACTTCTGGTTCTTTGCTAAGCCTACATGGGCAATATAGGAGCAAATGAATGATTTCTTTGCGGCTCCAATATCCTTATCTTTATAATGTGAAAACATAGATGTCTGTAAAGTGATGGGAGATTCTGGAATGAAATGTGCTAAGGGTAACCACTAGCACTTTTTCTTTCTTTTTAAAGACCAGCAACAGGCTTATGCAGTAAAATCAATTTGCACATGGTCTGGCTCTTGTCCAACAAATTCCACTAGATGATATTTTAATCTGAAAGGCCCAATACAGGAAGATGTAGATATCTATCGTTCTAATTTGCTGTTTCCAGCCCAGTGCACGGGGACTCTCAGGTACAGTACAGAGACATCCTTGGTGTGCTGAGCTGGCTGGGTTCTCCTCATTTCCCTCAGTTGTTTTTAACACTGGAGGTTAGGGTAGTGGTACCCACACGCAGGGGAGGAAGAGAGGGAGGAGGCTGGTAAGTGCAGGCCTGTCGGGATGGAGTTGTGTTCTTGAATGGACACATGATTGTGTTTTGTGTGGCTTTTGACAGATCTGTGTAGGAAGGTTCCAGTAAGTTTGTATGACAAGATCAGGTAGTAGTGTGGTGGTATGGTGGTTATTTAATTCTTTTTATTGTATTTTATTGTTGCAAGAATGCTAAGCATGAGAACTACCATCTCAACTACGTTTTTTTTTCTTTTCTTTTTAAAGACAGGGTCTCACTTTATTGTCCAGGCTGGAGTGCAATGGCATGATCGTGGCTCACTGCAGCGTCAACTTCCTGGGCGCAAGCCACTCTCTCACCTCAGTCCCAAGTACCTGGGACTACAGGCATGCACCACCATGCCTGGCTAAGTTTTTTATTATTTGTAGAGATAGGGGTCTTGCTATGTTGCCCAGGCTGGTCTCACACTCCTGACCTCAAGCAATCCTTCTGTCTCGGCCTCCAAAGTGCTGGGATTGTGCTCAAAGGCATGAGCCACTGCGCCTGGTCTTAAACTAAGTTTTAAGTGTACAATATGCTGTTGACTATAGGCACGATGCTGTGCAACAGATCTCTAGAGCTTGTTCATCTTGTTTGACTGAAATTTTATGTCCCTTGATTGCAACTCACCATTTCCTTCCCTATCCCAGCCCCTGGCAACCACTGTTCCACTCTTTTATTTTATGAATGTGATGAATTTAGATACCTCATATCAGTAGAGCCATGCAGTATCTGTCTTTCTGTGACTGTCCTGTTTCAGTTAGCATCATGGCTTCCATGATGTCACATATTGCACCATTTCCTTCTTCATGACTGAATAGTATTCCGTTGTGTATATAGCCACGTTGTAAAAATTAATCCTTTGGCAGACACTTAGATTGATTCCATTTCTTGGCTATTGTTAATGGTGCTGCAATGAATATAGGAGTGCAGATCCTGATTTCAGTTCTTTTAGATAAATAGCGAAGTGGGATTGCAAGATCTTAGGGTAGTTCTGTTTTTAATTTTTTGAGGAACCTCCATATTGTTTTCCATGGTGGCGGCATCATTTTATATTCCCATCAACAGTGTGCGGGGGTTCCAGTGTCTCTACATCCTTGCCGACTCTTGTCTTTTTTTTTTCTTTCCTCCCATCCTGACAGGCGTCATGTGACAGCTCCTTGTGGTTTTGATTTGCATTTCTCTAATGATTAGTGCCAATGAGAAACTTTTCATCCACCTAGTGGCCATTTGTGTCTTGGAGAAATGCATAGTTAAGTCCTTAGGCCATTTTTCCATGGGTGTTACTTAACACTTGAGGAGCCTCGTGTGTGGTTGCTAGCACACCTTGGCTTGATTGTCTCCGCAGAAGTTCTGCAGAGACCACCTCTTAGCTGGAGAGAAGCCTTTCCAGACATAAAATGAGAGGGCGTATTCTTTGTTGAGAACGTGTTCTCGAGGGACAGAGAGGCAAGACAGGTGAAGCTAGGAAGTAATTTTGGGATACCGTCTCTGCCCTTTTATAGGGCAGACTAAAACATAGCCAGAAGTTGGAAACTAGCATCTCCTTATGTTTCATTCAGTGTCATATTGGAATAAGCTAGGAAACATCTACTTGTGCATTTAGTATCTGGCATAGAGTAACACCTGATATTCATCAAAGAGCTAGATGGGTGAATAAAGAATGAATGAATGGGGTGAATTCCACAATAAAGAGATGAATCCCATTATTAATCAAATCTGTTCATAACTTTGGGCTTTAGGTTTTAGTTTAATTTTTAAAACAAAGGTTGGAAGTCTTCTCAGAGCATCTTAGAAATGTATTCGAGCTGAGCGTGGTGGCTCACAGTCTGTAATCCCAGCAATTTGGGAGGCTAAGGCGGGTGGATCGCCTGAGTGTAGGAGTTTGAGACCAGTCTGGGCAACATGATGAAATCTTATCTCTACAAAAAATTTGAAAATCAGCTGGGCGTGGTGGTGGGTGCCTGTAGTACCAGCTACTCAGGAGGCTGAGATTGGAGAATCACCTGAGCCTGGGAGGCCGAGGTTGCAGTGAGCTGTGATTATGCCACTGCACTCTGGCCTGGGCAATGAAGTGAGACCCCGTCTCAGAAAAGAAAAAAAAGATGTATTGGGAGACACGTGCCTATCGAAACCATTTTTGGTATTCAGAGTGTCCTTAAAGTTAGTCTTGTCATTTGCCTGTGATGTTAAGCTTGTGGTTGAGGTGAGTCTTTGAGATGATCTCAAATAGGATAAGTGAAGAAGCATCCCCTCCCCTACCATTTGTCACTTGGATTGTCAAAGTAGAATCTCTTCCCTTATTCATCAGGTGGCTATGGACAGCCAATAACCTGGGATGTATTAAGTTCTTTTCGAGATTTTCTAAATAAGTGTTCTTTGTACAAGGGTCGCGCTCCAGCAGTCTCCTTTGAAGTTGCTTCTGTTATTCATGGGGCCATGGTGTTATTTCAAAGGCGTCAGCCAGCAGGCTTGAGGCTTTTCTGGCATGAGTTCACTGACAGGCCTCTGGACAACATAGCTTATTTACTGGTCTCTCCTTCTCCCATCCCCGCTCCTCCTTTCTTCCCTCTCTCCACCAGAGCGATCGCCTCACCGGCCCATCCTCCAAGCCGGACTGCCGGCAAATGCCTCCACAGTGGTTGGAGGAGACGTAGAGTTTGTCTGCAAGGTTTACAGTGATGCCCAGCCCCACATCCAGTGGATCAAGCACGTGGAAAAGAACGGCAGTAAATACGGGCCCGACGGGCTGCCCTACCTCAAGGTTCTCAAGGTGAGGACTTTCTGAATCTAAAGGTACCCACAATTGGGGTCTCCTTCATGGGTCTGGCCACAGGTTCTTTGATTTCCTGTTGGAGTTGAGAGAGGATGATTCTCTGTTTTGACTAGCTAGCAGAGAGTGTGCTAAGGAATTAACAGATCATTACGCTTGCTAGTAAAATTTCAGAAGGGAACTATAGAGTAGGGGAAGAACTACTAAACTTGGAGAGAGAATAGTTCAGCTATTTATCAGCCCTGAGATCACAGACATTTAGGCTTAGCTGCACATCTCTAAAAGTAGAGATCATGATACTGTCTCCCCGATAGGGCGGTTGTGCAGAATAAATGGGATGGAGTGGATGGAATGAGCTTTGTAGGCTCAAGCCATTGTGCCAGTGTTGATTGTTACTCTGATGTTGTTTTCTATTAATAGGACGTTAGGATCCAATTTTAGTAGCCACCTTTTAGAAACAATTTGGATTTTTTTAAAAAACAAACAAACAAACCCCTGACCTTGGAAATCCATTCACAGGTGATTTAGACAATAAACCCTAGGTCATGTTTCTGCACCAGTGAAATGTTGAACAAGGAAAATATCTTTCCCTCCTTATTTCTTGTTTGCAAGCCCCCATTTTCATAGCATCTGCCTCTTTTTTCAGATCTAGAATTTGCTCTTCAGGAGGCTAAGGACACAGGTAGCTAAACCTGTACAGCTGGCTCTTAGCTCCTTGCCTACCACGCCTCCCATGTCTAGTTGCTCATAGAGAATGAATGTCCTTAAGAACATTCTTCCAGTAGAACCATAGGTGACCCAAGTAAGAACTTTCAGCCAATGAGGTGTTCTCACCAGCTAACAATTCCGAGGATCAAAGGCAATGGAAAAAGATGACCAACCTGGGGACCCACCCGACCTATCCAGTTAACTATCGGTCACACCCTCCTGCCCTTCTCTCCACCAGGTCTCTCCATTGTCCACCACTGGACTGATTTTGTTCTTTCAAAACCCACAGCCCTTTAATGCCGCTGTTTAGATGTAATGGAGTTTGTTTTCTTGCGGTGTGTTGGTGGTGGGACCATAGACAGTGCTAAGACCTTCCTGGTTGGCCGTTATATTGTTCTCCTGTGTCTGTTCTAGCACTCGGGGATAAATAGTTCCAATGCAGAAGTGCTGGCTCTGTTCAATGTGACCGAGGCGGATGCTGGGGAATATATATGTAAGGTCTCCAATTATATAGGGCAGGCCAACCAGTCTGCCTGGCTCACTGTCCTGCCAAAACAGCAAGGTAACAATGCTTTCATTTTTGTCTTTTTTTAAAAAGAAAGCTGGATATAGAAGCTGAAAAGACTTGGTGCTTTGGGAGACTGCAGGCAGCTTATAGGATAACTCTTGTGGCCTTGGTATATTTATAATAATCTTTCTTCGGTAATGCAGCTGGTACGATGCCAGTAGCCATGGAAAAATGCCCACAACGTTCAAAGTGCTTGCTCCAATTTCTTCTAGAGATTAGCCTCCACCCCCACCCAGTTTTTAAGTTGCTCCTTCTGGTTGGTCTTGTTTAGGCTGCACATTTCCCATCATTACTGCACATTAACACCATTTAAAACACACACCTCCATGCCCGTTTAATACGGGGCATTTGAGTATCAGCAGAGTTTGTCTCCTTCTACTGTAAGTTTTAGGGAAATATTGGCATGATGCAATTTGTTCAACAAAGCATCATTTCTTTGGTTGCATACCTGATCCTGATGAGATGCTGTTCTTGACCTCGTTGCACCAAATTTGAGGGGAGTTCGTCTTACTGAATGAACGTCCTACTGGCCGCTACTAAAGGCGAAAGGTTGACTTTTTAAGTTTGTCATGACTCACATTCAAATATTTATTAATAAAAAGAAAAAAAGCCCAGTTTTTTTGGTTACCAAGATGATGCTTGATTCCATTTCTTTTTGTCAATGCTATGTAAGGCAAGATGGTTTTGCAGAAGTAAAAATAACCAGAGCCTGGTAACCAAGACAACCTTCCACCCCGATTGGTTCCCAGAGGGCCAGGAGGATGGGTGAGGTGTCCATCTGAGCTTATGTGCAGTGTACTGCCTTAAAACACAGCAGTTTAGATAGAACTACCCTTTCCTCTTGGTGGGAGTCTGCAGCCAACAGGACCAGAACCAGCTTGGCCTTCTGGGCACCATACTTTTGGAAAACCACCCCTAAATGCAAACCAAAGCACAGGCCAAGAGAACGGACCTCTGTGGGTTGATTTTTTCCATGCATTTGATTGCGTGCATGTCTAGGAGGTGAAGCCGGTGTGGTGACGGGCCTGTGGAGGTGAGCTGGTCAGTGTTGCTCCGTGTCTCTCGGTTGTGGGCTTTGTGGATGGGCTGCAGTCGGAATCTCCCAGTGGCCAGCACCCCCTGAAGCCCCCGGTGCGACGCCTTGTGGTTCCACAGCCCCCTCCACAGTCATTCCTGTGTCGTCTAGCCTTTTCTCTTGCTTCCCTTGTTTTCTAGGCCGCCGGTGTTAACACCACGGACAAAGAGATTGAGGTTCTCTATATTCGGAATGTAACTTTTGAGGACGCTGGGGAATATACGTGCTTGGCGGGTAATTCTATTGGGATATCCTTTCACTCTGCATGGTTGACAGTTCTGCCAGGTATATACTGCTCTTTCCCTCTGGGTTTTTTTCCCTTTTCTTGGTTGATTGCTATAAAATTAACACAGCTTCTGTTATCAGAAATGGCCCCTTTTATCCTTGCATAAAGATATAAAAAATGTTAAAAATTATCCCTCAGGGATAAGAAAACTGCCTTGGAAATTCACACACAGTGAGATCCCACACTCAACATTTATGATCAAGGGAAATTTCACCCTTAAAACCTGAAGGGATCTCATATTTTTAGTGAGTCATTGAGCCAATGTATACATTAGCCCATCCCCCTTTCTCTGAAGGAAGAAGTTGAAATTACTTTGTAAAATTCAAAGTAATTTATTCTCACTTCAAATTCCATTTTGCTAAAATCCTGTGTGTGTTTTTATTGCTTTCATCCCACTTTGTATTTTTAACGAGATGTAAATAGAGGGGTGTGTATAGAGGAGCGTGGGGAGCGGCACCTCTGAATGTCAGGTGCACAGAAGCAGTGCGTTGCCTACCTTGGGGATCGGTGGCTTGCTGCATGTTGCGATAGAATGGACTTTCAGTTTGCTCTCATTGCAAAGCATGCTCCTGCCATCTTGGGCTTGATGTTATTTCTGCCTCACAGAGAAATAAACATCACTGCAGCCCTGTTGCCTAAACATTGCTGCTGTCTGAATCTTTAACCGACATCTCTATTCTAGTGAAACTTTCTTGATATTAAACACTGTCCTCTCTGATGCATCTGCCTCTTTGTCCTTTCCTTTGTGACACTGCAGAGACTGCGGTTTGCTAGCTTATGATATTCCACTCCAGTTATTAATTCCTTGTTTTTAGAGTACAGTGCCTACCTGCATGCTTATTTTACATCTAGTAAAAATAAAATAGATTGTTTCATTTTTGTGCTGTTGCTGCTGAGAATTTTGACTATCTTGCAAGTATTTTTCTGATTAAAATATATAAGCTTTCAATAATACCATTGCATCCGTTTTTCCTTTTGTTGCGAATCTGCTCTGTGAATATTTGCTTTGAAACAAAGAGACATCTCTTATGTTGAAACTTGCTTTTATTTGCAGTACTGCATTCTGTGGTGCCTAACTGGCACTTCTTAACCAGTTTGCCTGACAGTGCTAGCACTTAACTAAGAATGCAGTTTGAGAAAAACGCTGTTTGGAAATACACTGTTTGTAGATGGATCATCGAGGACTAGGAAGAAGGCAGACATTGGAAGTTGATATAAAAATGTGCTAAATTAAGTAATTATATGTATACTCACACATAATACCTTTATGTTTTTTCTTTAAGAGAAAAACTGTAGTGACATAACAGTATAACCAGATATGTATAAACTTAAAAGATTATTAAGGAATATTATAAGCTTTATGTGTTATGGATCTAATGGTGCTATATTATAAGCAATTCAGTCTGTGTATTTAATGCATTGGTTTGTTTATGGACTAGATGGTATTAATGAATTCACCAAAAGTTTTTTGGACCAGCCTACTAGATGAACATCAGTTTCATATGGAATTGTGTTCATCCGGGTTAAATTATCCTGTGGAGTCTTCCTTTGGAAGAACCTACCCATGTAAGACTGAAGCATTGTCACTGTCTCCTTAGAAACAAAAGTGGGCGTCATTGATATTTCAGAACTTTGTATTTGGTTTGCATTCATAGACCATCATGAAAGATAATCCTTTCACTGCGGGTACAGTTGGTCGTCCTCTGCTCAAATGTCTAACAGAATGTGGCCTCACAGCCTGCCCTGTGCAACTGGGTGTCAGCCACTCACTGGACTGCGGATGCCCACTGAGGCTAGAGACAGTGACTACCCGGGTCCTGGTGGTCAAATGATGAACCCCCTGGTTATTCATTTTCATTTGGGAGGGGCATTTGGCAGACCTATGGCCCATGCCATTCTGCAGGATTGAGTTTTTGGGAAACCCACCTTGTCTTGAGAATGGTCATCACCTTTTGGTTCCGTTGGTTGTGCTATGATGCCTCAGTCTCGTGCGCTAACTCTGTGGCCTGCTTATCTGTTCCTCCTCCTATGATCTGCAATTTAGCTCCTGGAAGAGAAAAGGAGATTACAGCTTCCCCAGACTACCTGGAGATAGCCATTTACTGCATAGGGGTCTTCTTAATCGCCTGTATGGTGGTAACAGTCATCCTGTGCCGAATGAAGAACACGACCAAGAAGCCAGACTTTAGCAGCCAGCCGGCTGTGCACAAGCTGACCAAGCGCATCCCCCTGCGGAGACAGGTAACAGAAAGTAGATAAAGAGTTTAAAGAAATTTACTCCTCCCTCATGACCCAGCCAGCTGTGGATCTTTTGCTCTGCTTTGGTGCCATCGACTTCTGTGAGCTTCCACGTGCGAGTGATTCTGCTGTGATGCTTGGCAGTCACCCAGTTAGTGTTTGGAGCTTGGAGAGTCTAGTCATAGTGCGTTGCTTGGATCAGTGGGGTCCAGTTCCAAGGGCAAGAAAGGACAATAGTGTCAGAATCAGAAAACTAATCAGCAGGACTGGAAATAACTGGAGGCAAATCCCCCTGTGTGTGTTTGATCAGACTCAAGTACAGCGGTCTCTCCGAAGTCTTAGCCACATTGGTCTCCTGTGATCTAATACCTTTTTTAAGATAAGCGTGAACATTCGCTTGGGACTTATGCCACTAGTAGGAAAGAGACTCTAAGTTCTCTGACTTATTTTTTAAAGTCAAGATCAGAATCTTATGCCCTGGGGGTGCGTCTGGACTGTTTGATTTAAACTGGTGCACAATAACTTTCTACACTGAATTTTGGCTTAACCTCTTTGCAACTTAAATAGAATTGTATGCATCTATTATGTCTCATTGTTAGTAGTTCACAGGTGTGGCGGTGATTTATTGGTAGAATATTTGTAAGGAACCAGCAACAGATTGTTTTTAACCTCCAACGTGGTCTTTGGTGGTTGCTTTTTGCTTGTGTGTGCCTCCTGATTGGTTTAATTGTGCTCTGGGGGAGATGGGGCAAGATGGAGCCTCTGCTGTAAACCAAAGCCCTGCATAGGTAGGTGGGACAGGACATGCTTCAGCTCTTTTCTGTTTGTTCACAGAGATGGAAGCGGAAGGCAGATGTAGATGTAGAATGTTTACAAAAGCATTTGAAACTTGGTTCTGATAAAGGTTATTTTGAAATAGCAAGTAAAACAGCAAACTCATTGGCTATATTTCAGTGTGTATTTTAGTAAAATTTATGGGGTACTTGTTAAAATTTCAGATTCCTTTGTCTCAGCCCCAGAGATTCTTGTTTAGTCATCTTGGATAGGGCCAGGAATCTGCATTTTATTACAAGCCCTATGGTGATTTTAGAATGCACTTTGAGAAACTCCAGGTTAATCCCAGGCATGCCTCTCCAGGGACTTCAGGTAGGAATGACATTTTCTGGACAAGGCGTTAGGAAGGATTAGGAACCAGTTGGTCAGCAGTGGTTTTGGCATGGGTCTGGCTGTTCACAACCCAGCTCCAAACTCCCGGCTGAATGGGTCCTTGTTAACTTCTCTGAAGCCATGTTGCAAGCAGGTCTGTCTTTGTGGAGGCGGAGGATAGAATTTAAAGTGTGTGTCAAGTGTAGGCGAATGACCAAATTGTGTTAAGAGCATGGAAAAAAGGGGCCTATTGGGTCACTTGTGCCACCAAGAATGCTGTTGTCATTTTGAGTGACGTGATTATCTTTCTTGGGGCCAGGAAAGCAAAGATGGGGCCAGTTGGCCAGCCAGTTTCTAGGGGAGTCCAGTCTTGAGATAACTCTTACATGGTTTCTATTATTTTTTTTCTAATAGGGAAAAATGCTAACTTCTGGAAGCAACTTGTAATTTGGCATAGCTAGGCCACTGCCCCGTAATTATCTCATCATCTTTTTTTCTGCAACTGTTACAATGCTTTTCTTTTTACTGAATATAAAAGGGTAAGATGCCCTTAAAATCCCCCTGACTCAGCCACAGTCATTGTGTGTTCTTTCCCCAGTGCCAGGTGGCTTTTCATCACTGTCCATCTAAGAATACGGTTTGAGGAGAATAATGTTTGGAAATGTACTGCTTAAGAAGAGGGCAGACATTGGAAGTTGACATAAGAATGTTCTAAATTAAGTAATTGTATGTATACTCACATGCAATGCCATTTATATTTTTTCTTTAAGAGAATTCAGCCTGGCCGGGCGTGGTGGCTCACGCCTGCAATCCCAGCACTTTGGGAGGCCGAGGCGGGTGGATCACCCAAGGTCAGGAGTTCGAGATCATCCAGCCTGACTGGCATGGTGAAACCTCGTCTCTACTAAAAATTCACAAATTAGCTGGGTGTGGTTGTGCATGCCTGTAGTCCCAGCTCCTTGGGAGGCTGAGGCGGGAGAATCGCTTGAACCCAGGAGGTGGAGGTTGCAGTGAGCCAAGATTACGCCATTGCACTCCAGCCTGGGCAACAAGAGTGAAACTCTGTCTTAAAAAAAAAAAGAGAGAGAGAGAATTCAGCCTAAGTTGGTCCTTTTTCGTGTCCTCCCTGTGTTACCAGAGGGAGCATCAGAGTACCTTCCTCTTTTTCTTCCCTCCTTCCTTTTATTGATTCATCATAATTTACTAAGTGCTGGGTATAAACCAGGTTACATGTAAGACACAGCCTGTCACATTCACCGGTGGTTCCAAGGTTATTTGGTGGTAAATGCCTGTAATCCTAGCTCCACAGGAGGCTGAGGCAGGAGGATCCTTTGAATCCAGGAGTTCAAGACCAGCCTGAGCAACACAGCGAGACCCCCAACTCCAAAAAACAAAACAAACAAACAAAAACCCAAAGTGGAAAAAAAAGAAAAAAAAATGTAATAGTAGGGCCAAGGATAACAGAAGCAGAGAAAATGGGGCAAATGCCGGTTCCCTGGAAAAATACATCTGCGTGAAATTAATTTATTTGGGGGAATGTTGACACACCTCAGCTCCTTCTACATGTCCAGGTGGGGTCCATTATTGGATCTTCACAAAGAATGTTTCATCAGTAAGCATGGCCTCTTTGGTAGAGAAAGAGATGCTTATCGAGTATCTGGATCAAAGAGGGTTATTGGACTGGAGCTGGAATGAAAAGCCCCAGAAAGGCCTGCAGATATGTTGATGACAGAGCAAATACCACAGGGATGCCGAGCATGCCTTTACCTGGCGACAGGTGAGCCTCTAATCAGATGTGTCAAGGATGGGTTGTTTCTAGGCATTTATGAGGCCACTTTTTACTCTGTGTTGACCAGCCTCTTCTAGGACACGGGGATCACTAAGTGCCTGCATGGCCCTGACTCTTTCCCTCTCCAACACCCACACACACACAGCATCTCACTCACGGCCCTCAGTCCATCCTTGTTCTCTTCTGAGAACAAGAAAAGTTGGGTTTTTGTTCCTCCTGTGAGTTTTTCCTTCTTGGTATGTATTAATTTGCACTAGACTTACTGGTGTAACACAGACCTTTCAGTTTATTTTTTTGAGCAAAAATATTTTTTTTTTCTGGTACCAAAGAAGAAATTCCTTGCAATCATTTCCTAGTAAGCATGAATTTTTTGAGACTTTGTATGCACATGGCTTGAAGAAGGAGAAGCAGCTTTTGGGTAGTGGGAGGCAGATGACAGGTGGCATCTCTCTGTCCTTTGATGGAGGCTCATGTCACAGTGTCAAGGCTTGGGCACTGTGCCAGACGCTGCTCACCCACTCCCACTCCTTTGGTGCCCAGCGAGTTAAATGAGACCAACAACAGCCAGCCCAGAGAGGGGCATCTTTGTGAGCGTGTTGGTTCTTGTGCAGGTCTGCTGGACAGCCAGTGGCCAGTGTGAAGCAGCCTTTGGGAGTTAAAGTGGGCAGCATCACTTTCTGTGTTTTCCACAAATCAATTGGATGGTGGGGGAGGGTGTAGGGATGGGTGGAGGATGGAGTGCAGGGGAAACTGAGGGTGCCTGTTTAGGAGACGTGCAGTGTTGCTGAGTTTGCTGAATCAGTTTTACATTGAGCACATCAGTTTCTTTCTCTGGGTCTTGAAGCTTCCATAGGGTAGGATGGAGATTTAACTGTCTTGTGGTTGGCTCCGTCCAGATAAATTCATCTCCTATGCAGCTTATACCCTCTCTCACTGCCGTCAGCATGGTACAAGAGGCTGCAGGGTATTTTTTTTTTTTTTTTTCAGACAGTTTCATCTTCTCAGCTGCTGATATAGGTAGGCTGAAAACCAGAGAAAAATCAAGAGCAGGCCAGGCGCCGTGGCTCATGCCCATAATCCCAGCACTTTGGGAGACCAAGACAGGCAGATCACCTGCGGTCAGGAGTTCTAGACCAGCCTGGCCAACATATAGTGAAACCCTGTCTCCACTAAAAAATAGAAAAATTAGCTGGGCGTGGTGATGCATGCCTGTAATCTCAGCTACTTGGGAAACTGAGGCAGGAGACTAGCTAGCACCCAGGAGGTAGAGGTTGCAGTGAGCTGAGATCGCGCCACTGCCCTCCAGCCTTGGCAACAGACAGAGTGATACTCTGCCTCACACACACAATAAAAAAATAAAATAAAATAAAGTAAAATAAAATAAAATAAATCAAGGGCAGTGAAGGTCACCTTTTGTAACAATACTTTTAAGGCAAATGGCATGTTCCTGGGGACGTTAGAAACAGGACCAAGATGAAGCGGGAGGAGTGGAGCGGGTGCCTCGGGGGAGGAGTGTGAGACTCAGTAGCCAGTTCTCAGGTCCTGTGTTAGTGATCCTCAAACATGCCAAATTCCGAGAAGAGGGATGAATGTTCTACTCCTGGAAGCTCGTTTACTGCCTGGCAGCTGAACATCATGATCTGGGAATATTCTTTGTATTTTGGTCAATCAGGTGGTCTAAACCTCACTGACTCCAGAAAACATTTGGGTAATTAGAGTGGTCACGGATGACTTAACTGGAATCTGCCCTTTCATGTGGGCACCTCGCCTTCCCTGCCCCTATTTCACTGTTCTCTTTTCTCCTCTCTCAGCCTCCAAAGGACACAACAGTTTGCCCAAGATCTGACTTGGATCTTGGCTGATGTGATCTCTTGAGCAGAGCCAGCGCATCTGGGGCTGGTGCGTCATGGTTCCGATAGGTTTACTCACAGAGTCCCAGGGAAGGGCCTGTGGGAGGCAGAGACTCACTGCGGGAGAAAAGTGAGTGTCTGATGAACTAACTTGCTTAATTACCTAAATTTTGTTATGGAGGAATTAAAAATGCAACTTCAGAAGCCTTTGAAGCTTTATCTCA